TAACTCTGAAACAATTGGTATAAAAACAAATCTAATTAAATAAAATATTAACATGGGAAGTCTACAGGAATGATAATAAATTTAAAATTAGAATTTAAAATTTTAGTAAACAGTTTTTCTTCATATATTGCTATTAAGCAATGTACAACTACGGTGAAAATATTTTTAAACCTAATTTAAAGATTAATTGAAATAAATGTTTTACGGTAGGTTTTTGGGCACTACTATTATTATAACCGCACCTGTATTTTATATGATTTAATTATCTGTTGTTCATCACTTCCTAAAAATGCATTTTTGTTGTAATTCCATTAGAGCTAAAATTTATTACCACTTGGTCCTTCTTACCGCCTAATCGATCCTTTGATGGGCAGTGTCAAGTGACACCCTTTCGCCACTTGAAGCATGCTGGCATCCTTTTTGCAACGCCTAGTTTCTTGGGGCAGCGACAAACAAGACATACGATGGCCTCCTGCTGCAATTTCCCCTAGCAGTCCCCGAGGGGTGGCACATAACTTTTGTCAGGCGGCCATGTTGCAGCATGCCGCACAACGAGGGTTGCACTCAGAAATGTTGCTGATGGTCAGCTGGGGAATGCACAAAGCGGACAAGAAGCGATACTAGTCAGCGGGGGGAGGGGTAGGGGGCTGGGAAACTTATGGGAAAACTACACTGTCAACTTCTGGGAAAAATTCGCAAGCCCATTTGAGCACGCGAAAATGCAGCATACTTTTAGGTTGCGTAAAATAAATGAATTCACAATCATTAAAGATCAATTTATAAAAGTGTTTCTCTAGAAAAAAAATACTTAAAATAGATAAAATTATATGGTAAACTTGAAACGATTTGTTTCTTCAAATTGTGACTATTTTTTTGTTAAGTCAGTATTTACATTACAAAACCAATAAATGGATATTAATTAAAACAGATTTAAAATTTTTTAAATTATTTCGAAAAATTTACAAAAGTATTTCTTTGTGAAAACAGTAGTACTCTACGAAAATATATTAACAAAATAATACGGTAAAATAAATTCAAATTTGTTATTAAAAGTTTTAGGCTTATTGTTTTTAGTCAAAAAAATTAGTTGTACACAAAATTTTGTTAAATGCTAAAATAGATTAAAAATTCTTTGAAATGTATGAAACGTTTGCGAATAGAATATAAAAGCCTTTAAATAGTGTCTTCAAAATTTGCATATGTTTTTACTTGCTTATTTAGAAATGCGAATTTAAATTGAAATGATTAAATCAATAAGGGGATAAGTATTAAAATAAATTTAAGTCCCAGCCTCTCTGCTTGAAGACCTTTGTTTCGACTTAACTTTAAAAATTTAGCTAAGAGACATTAACCCAAGTCCCTTTTCCTTGGAGTGCACTTTCAGCTGACCAACTTGCTGACTTGACCAAGTTTTTTCTGGCTTCTGCTGGCTGGCTTTTTTTGTAGTCTCTGTCTGTTTTGGCGGATATGCGCTCTTAGCGAAAATTGCATTTGGCCAAATGAGTGGAGCTCGCAAAGCAGAAGAAAAAGAGGCAGGAAACCCCAAGGAGTCGGGAGACCGGACTAAAAAAACCAAAGTCCAAGACGACTCTTAATATTTCATCTTTCATGCTCATTTGCACTTATACGGAGAACCTCAGTGGAAAATGGGTTGGTGGAAAATAGGAGTAGGGGGTGGTCTGGTGTCGGGGTTCGTGGGAGAACAATCCCAGGACCACACGGCGTGTAATCAAAAGAAAACGTTGCCGCCAGCCGATGTTTTTTTGGCACACTAGAAAAAATGTTAAATACATTTTTAAAATAATTATAAAATGTGTTTTGGACAACAGTACGTATGACTGATATACTCTGACCACTTCAAAGTATATCACTCATACGTACTGTTGTCTTTCAACAAAAATTGAATTCTAACATTTACTACGTATCATTCGAGAATAGTTAATATATTGCGCAACGCCTAAGCTAAAACTTAAAATAAAATGATAACATTTGTTTCAAATTAATATGGTGAAAATAAAGTTTGTTATTTCGCTTTGGTCAAATGCTCCCCTTTTTTTGTAAGTCTTGTTTTATTCTTGTGAAAAATACGCCTCGAAAGATACTTAACTTGCTTGTATCCAATGCTTCGTTCGAAAGTTTTTCAAAAAATATTTTTTCTAGTATTTTAAAAATTAAAATTTTTGAGCCTCTGTTTGTCGGTTTTTTCGGGCTTATTTAAGGATCCTCGAAATAGTTTTGTTGTGTTATACATTTTTTTTTACCACGTCTATTAAAAAAAAAATAGCTAGTTTGGCGTGAATTTAGCTAGAAAAAACTTAAGTTTGTAAAAAAAGCTAGTTTTGGGGGGAAAAAGCTAGAAAAAAACTAAAACGGTCCTAATAGAAACATTTGACTTTTGCAGTTTTATGACATACACACACACATGTGTGACGTGTGACTAGAAATTTGAGATATTAAATTATTTGAATTAAGTAAAAGCTTCGAGAAGTCAATTATAAATTCTGTTTTTAAAAATTTGTTATAACTGTAATACTTTTATTAATATAACAATTGAAATTTATATGGTATACATTATAACCATAAATATAAAAGAATCTTATGGATAATCTCGCTTTTTATTCCCTTGTAAATTGATATCAGATGTTATTTTTTCGAGCTGTGCAATTCGGCTGCTCCTTCTTGTCTTCCCGCCGCCTTTTCCGTGCTTGGCTCCGGTGTTCTGCAGGTTTTTCTCATTGACGACGTCTTCAGGAATTGGGGAGTTGGACGTTCAGGTCGGATGAGGACGGCACCTGCTGCGAGTTATTTACAGCCACTGGAGGGCATTCCTTTTTTCCTCAGTATTTTTCATTTTTTTGTTGTTGTTGTACTTTTGTACTGGAGCAGGAGCAGCTATTACACATTGCCGGAAGCATTTGAATGTGTTTATGTGTAAGCGTCTATCGCTCAAGTTGCCGACTGGCCCCACTTGCCGTCTCTTTCTGGGCCCCTCTGGCCATCTCTCTTGCCTGCCCTCTGCCCCTCTCTACCCCTCTCTATCTTTTCTCCAGCTCCTTTCCATAACAGCAACTAAAATGTTTCCGTTATTAAGCTAAAGAAACACTTAACTTTGCGCCAGGATCAGCAAGGACGTCAGGTGCAATGAATACAAGAATAAGAGAGAGGGCTAGAGAAGAGGGAAAGAGACGCACAAACGCAGTGCGAAAGGGAGGGCCATAGAGTAGAGGACCACGCGGATACACGAAACTTTTGAGGTGTTTAAAACGTTAATTTGCTTTAGATTTAACAGGCATTTCAGCCCTCTCCCTCGCACATCCGTGGGTGTATATGTGGTGTGTGAGTGTGGAAGTGATTTTCGCATTAACGCTTGCCACTTTGGCGGTTCGAGTCAACGGAGCACAAAAAACCACTCCGTTCCTCGTATTTTTTCCCCGTCATTTTACACCTTTGTTTGCTTGCTTGGCGATAAAGTGCAATAAAAACAAATAAAACAATATGGAGCGATATAGTGAAGTGACCCAACTATTAGATACCCGTTACTCAGATAACCCAATTTTTAAAAAAAAATTTGCAACCAGAAAACAATCGCGTTTTAGGAGCCGCCATCTGCCGTGCTGCGTGATCAACACTACAAGGTATTAAAACGTTAAAACTATATTTTTCAATAATTTTTAAAATAATAATTAGCTGACACAGTTTGACGATTTATGGGCGTTGTATTGGGTGTGGCAAATATCTAGAGCCTTAGTGTTAAATCTTAAATCTCAGGCTTCTAATAATTTAAATTATATATAACTCATATCTACCTTTTTGCGAACTTCAATTTGTAATTAAAAAAGAAGTCAGGGCTTAAGTTCTATATAGATATCAGGAATTCAGCTTCTTCTATTGCTCTAAAATTCCCGTTACCTTGCTCCATGCTTTAGTACTTGACCACACACATTCTTTGGTCCTTTCTTTCACACCTTTCTTTCACACAAAATTAATGCTGAAAAACAAGTTATATCCCAAAGGAAGAAAAAAAGTTTAGGTTTTTAAATGATTTTCAATTTTTTTATCTTTTTAAGCAAAGACATAATTTATCCTTCATTCAAAACATATATAATTTTGGCTGTTTAAAACCTTTTTTGTGAACATTTAGGTTTTTAGATACGAATATTAAAAATTTCAATTTAACAACACAAGTAAACATGAATGTATGTAATAAATAAATAATAAGTATGCAAGTGCTTCTTATTTATGTCAAATAAAAGAGCTATACATGGTAGAATTCTTCAAAACGTTCTAGATTCATTTAAATATGTTATATCTAGCCTGAAATAGGCTAAACTGGCAGCACTGCCCTTGGTTTTCCTCGAAATCAACTTTCATAATTAAATGGCAAGTCCGAACTTTCTATTCCCGGTCTCTCTCTCTCACACTCTCTCTCTCTCACTCCCTCCTTATCTCCCTCTCTCGCTCTGCCACACTCACACACGTTCATGCATAAAACAATTTAACACTTAACGTGGCCAGGAGCTGGAAATAAAAAGCGCATAACTCATGCGAAGAAGTCGTCGGCGGCAGAGACGCCGGCAGCGGCGACAACGGCGCCATAAATTTCAAAAACAGCTACAAAACAGGAAGCAGCAGGCGGAGCAACAACAGCAACAACAACATCAACAACAACAAACAACAGGATCATGGAGGAACAAGGAGCACCAGGAAAAAGAAAGAAAGAACAACTCGAGTGGAATGTACAACGGGATAGCTGCACTCGGAAAAATAAAGCAAAAATATGTTCGTATATTTAGCCAAACATTTGTAAACTTAAGTAATCACACTCAAAACTAAAATTTTTGAATTTTTTTGTTCATAAATTAAACATAAAATTAACTTTTATATTTTCCAAGGCTTAAAAAAATTCGACCTACAAATTAAGGTTTGCAATTTTCGATTTTGTTGTCTTTTTAAATTAAATGCTAGATTTTTATTTATAAACTTTTTTCAAATTCAAAAGGGTTTTTATTTTAAGTGTAGAGAGAGGGAAGGAGCGAAATAGAGGGAGAGGGCACGGCCGCAATGGACTGCAAAAATATTAACTACCTTTTAGCAAAAAGCGGGCCAAGCTGACGTCAAGTTTTGTAGAAAATTATGTTTTACAATGCGAAAATTGAATTTCAGTTTATTGTTTTCTGCTGCTTGTTTTTGTTCGTCCATTTTGTTTTTGTTTTTTTTTCGCATTTTTGCTTTACGATTAACTGTTAAATGCAGCCGACTTTTCACCGTTTTGTGGCTGCAAGTCAACGACTTTTCCACATGTGTGTTTGCTTTTCTTGTTTTTCATTTGTTTGTATGCACTTTACAAGAACATGGAGAAAAGCGGCTGCCTGCCAAATTGCACGGAAATGTTTACCACTAGGGATGGTGGTAAAAATAAGACGATGTTAAAAAAAGATACCTATTGAGCTTTATATTGTACTGAGTAACAGACGGCATTAATAATACAACTGCGGTTAAAAGAAAACAAAGCTTTTTTTGCTGATGCAAATAGCAGCCAAAAATAGTTTGGAAATACCTTTTCATATATGTTTTATATTTTTGTAAAGATTATACTATAAACTAAATAGTTCAAGCATATCTCAGAATATTTTTTAAAGATTAAATGTTTTTAAATTTGTATTTAAAATATGCAAATATGCACTATAATACAAAGTGCAAATGAACGAATATATATGTATGGTTATTTTATCAATGCTTTGAAATCATTTACTACTGTTTTGTGTGTTACAAAGTGCATTTAAATCATTAATTAACTGATTTCATTTTCCTTGAGAAACTAAAACAATATCAATGGTTTTTTAAACCTCATTTAAACTAAAGGAAAAGTTGTCCTATGCACTTTGAGACCTACTACTACATAATTCCACCGCAGCTGTATGTATGCCTTGAATATATTTTAATCAATTTACTTTTAACCAGATACTTTATTGGGATTCCCGTTCCAGTGAAAAAAAAACAGCACACTTAAAGGCTGGGTTTATTTGTTGGGGGGGCCACATAACACTAACAAAACACACTAGGAACTAATTCACGCACAGCGATCTTTTCTCTCTCTCTCTCTCTCTCTCTCTCTCTCTTTCGCCGCCGCCAGCTGTTCGTCCAGAGGCGCAGCACAAGGGGGTTTCCATTTAAGTTTCCGTTGACCTTTGGCCACCTACCGATGACCTTCGTCCCCCTGCCGCTGGCCATGCGCCCCTCTCCGCTCAGGAAATTCGTTTGACGCCTCTGCACGTAGGGCTGCTGGGGGGCGGTGCGGAAGTAGAAGCTCCCCTGCGCACGCCTCTGCGAATGGATGCCGAAGCGCGCCTTCCGGTTGCCATCGCAATATCCGGCGGAGAACTCCCGGTAGCTGCCGCACTCGAGGCCCACGAACGGATACTCGGGATCCATCGACTGGCGGAAGAAAATCGCCGCCGCCGAGTGACTGCAGGCAATGGGATCTACGGAGGAACATAAACAGCATTAGGAGGTCCTTACTCCTTACTCCTTATTGTATTGTATTATTTTAGTATTCCTACCTAGTTTCTTTTGCATTCTAGAAATTAGTCCCTATTTATAAAAATCATTTAGACAGTGGACAATTTATAAAAATCCTGGAGTTTTATAGTAAGAACAAGAAGAGACTACTAAAGATTTGATTTTTGCGGTCTTTTCTTCCTGAAGCATTCCTGAAGCTATTTTTCCCCATAAAAAAGACCAAAAATTAATAAAGTACTTCTACTTTCAAGTCACTCACTGGTGTTCTGCATATCCCTCAGATTGGCGAACATCTTGCAGTTGGTCTGTGGGGCCCTGCCGCCGTTGGGATAGAAGTCGGCATGTCCGCACTTCAGACTCGTGCCCAAGGAGCCGCCCGAAGTGTGCAGCACCTGGACGAACTGGGCATCGCCGGGATCGAGGCGGTACTTGGGCGACACCTCGGCGGGCAGCGAGAACAGGGGTCCGGCTGGATCCAGCCCAATGATCTGCTCCACCCGGCCCTCGAGTACCGCTCCCGCGTAGCCGGCGGCATGGGCGCCCAAACTGTAGCCCGCCAAGGTGACGTTACTTCGATGAAAGTGATTCGGTCGCAGCTCCTCCAGTGCCATTATAATTCCCGCCACCGTGAGGCCCACATCGAAGATCGACATGGAGGCGGACTTGTAGTCATTCTGCGACAGATTTCCCCAGTCCACAACGCACACATTGTAGTTCGAGTCGAAAAGGGTCCAAGCTGGGTAAGAAATTATATATAATTATAAGATATCAACAAAGTCATATATTATTGAGTATAAATATTTCAAGTGCACTGTAAACATTTATTATATTATTAAATATTATCTTGCCAATAGTTATTTCTTAATTTTTCCCTGTTAACCATTTTTTACTATTTAAAATAAAGTATATTAATACTTACTCAGCAAGAGTTCTTGCACCCAGTCCTTACTTCCTTGGTCGTTCCATCCATGCAGAAACAAAGCCAACTTTTTGTTAGGATCCAGCCGCCGAAATCCTCGTAGATCGCCCAGTTGCAGATTGAAGTGCACTTCATTGCCGAAATCCTTAGCTGATCTGGAAAATATTCAAAACATTGTTATCACTTAAAATAAAACTCTTTTAAATTGAAATAAGCCTACCAGGTTTTTATCAAAAGGATCGATTGTTAGATGATAATTAATATACTTATATATTAATTAATAGGAAGATGAAAATGTATCGTTACAATAATAATAATAATAATAATAATAATAATAATAATAATAATAATAATAATAATAATAATACTTAAGCATTTAACCTTATGATATGTAAATAAGCTTAATTTAAATTCTTTAGCTTTATGAATTTTAAAAAATCACTTAAGTTTTTAGATCTTTCATCAAAAATCAAAGAATATTATTTGTATCTTTTAAGATTTCATTAATAACATGAATCTTGTACCATGAAAAGATCTTCTGAGATTAAAAAAGATGCAAATGTATCGTTTTGCTAATATTTTAATCTTTAACTTTATGATACTGTAAGTTCTTAGATCTTTTATCAAGGAATATGATTTGTATGTTTTAGGATGAAATTATGTATCGTTTTAAATAGATAGTAAGTATATTTAAAGATGTAATTTAATAATGCTGCTAAGATAATCTTTTAGTTTAGAGGTTTTTTCTAACTTTGGTAGCATTGTGTGGCAATCAAGCACCCACTTACATGGTGCGGCACTCGAAGACGATGCCGTGGTTGAGATGGGCCCGCTCCAGACTGTTGCGGAGCATTGTCTCCTGCAGATAGCGAAAGGCCTTCATCATGGGGCTCCAGCGGTGGAGGGCCTCGATCCGCGGCACATTGCCTATCGGGCCGAGCAGGCAGCCAAGGAGCAGCAGCCGGGTCACGTGACCTATCATGCGGTCAACGGGAGAGTCATGCACCGCCACAGAATCACACGGAGCACTGTCCTCACCAGCACCAGAAAAAAAGTTAAAACAAAAACAAAACAAGGGGAAATGATCTTCGGAACACGGTAGACAACACGCTTTCTGGACCGCTTGGTTTGCCCCGTGGCTGGCTACTGAAGAACTCGACTCGCTTGTAACTCCAACAGACCCGTGAACACGATGATCATCATTCCGTTGATGATCGTGATGCAGACGTACACTGGTCAAAATCACAGACCAACCATTACCATTAATAAAACTAAACTTAAATCCATTATCATCGTTTAATTAATCTGAAAGAACTATGAAATAAATAAAGGACTTAGATTCGAGTTATTAAAGTTATCTTATCAATACTACCTTTTTTATTTAAAATATATTTTCCTATTTTGAATCAAGATTGCTAGAATTACTTTTTATAAAAATAAATATAATATTGTATTTATACTGGCGAAAATTATAGGCAAACTATGATTTATATTACAAAAATATCCCAACAGACGTTTTTAAAATGTTAGTTTCTTAAAATGACTACAATTCCTGGCATATAGGTATACCATATATAATTCCACAATCATCGTTTTAGTGAACCTAAAATAATTTAATAAAAAAAATAGAAAGTAAATAAAGTAAACTTTTAATTTTAAGAGATAATAAGTTAAAATATCATTTTACATCATTTAAATATGGGATAATAAAAATATTTGTACTGGTAAACATTTTAAAATACCGAAAAAAGTGGAATACCTTCCACTAACATAATATTTGTCTTTGCAATCCAAGTTAGCTTACATTGAACACTAAATTAAGACCTAAAATATAGATCTGACTATAAGTTTCGAGCAGTGTAGCTGATGCTGATGACCCTGCTCTCCAACAGCTCTCAACATCTGCGGCGTTCTTGGCAGCGTGTTTGCACAAGTGAAAGTACAAAAAAGCTTGTAACGACTTTTCGACTCTTTCGATTTCGATTTCTTTCGGCCGGGAATTCGGCTTTGGGTTTTGGTATTCGGTTTTCGGTTTTGAATATTTGGCTTTGGTATTCGGTACTCGGCACTCCACTGATCTTGACATAGAAGCCCATAGCCCATCAAACGGTAGCCACGAATTTCTGACTTGTCATGGCTGTTTATAGTTTGTAGTTGGTAGTTGAAAGTTGGTAGTTTGTAGTTTATAGTTTACTTTGGCAGCTGAGCAAACCGTACCGAACCGAAATCGATAGTAAAATTGAAAAAGACAAGGCGGCGCATTCAGGCCTCATCTCGGATCGAATGGGTTAATTTTAGTGCTGTCATAAACTTCAGAGGGAGTCCAAGTTTCTGGGGACACGCTTTCTCGATGCAGTGAGAGAAAGGGTTAACCTTCTATTAGCCAACATATGTTTTACAGTTTACAAGTCGAAAGCTGAACCTTTATCTTTAAATAAACTTACAGATTTATATGATATTTTAGTCTCTATCTTTAAAGTTATTATTTAAATCATCATATTGTTAAGTATGTATTTATATGAGGAAATTATGTTATAATTGGATGGATTGATATTTAATGAGATAAATATTATGACCGCGCTAGGCTAATACCGTCTAATAAAATAAATAAATCATATGTTAACAACATTTATTTTTATAAAATATATTATATAAGCTAAACTATTTACATGTAAATAATATTTGCAATAAGTAAACATTTTTGAAGCTCACATTTTTGCCAGTGTTTTTTAGAGCATTCCAAATGGCGCAGAACTTACAGACTTTGACCCAAAACGCTGTTTTTTTATGTCGCGCACATAAAATATGTTTGGCTTACAAGAGATAAACCATAAAATAATACCGCCTATTGGCCGCTTTTTGGCCGAGCTTTCTAACCAATACTAAATGTGTTAAACGAAAGCAAAGAGAGAAGAACGCTAATGATGCGCAAGTAAAGTGCCAAATGAAATTCGTTGTCTTCGCTCTATTGTTTTTCATAAATTGTTTTTTTTTTTATGGGAGAGCCACAAAGCTTTGGAGCGTCTTTTATCTCTATTACTATTCCGTCTTTCTTCTGACTTTGTTTTGGCAATCTGTACTTTTGCCAGTCGATCAATTTGCATATCTATCTGTATCTGTATCTTTGCTTTGCCATCCACCTGTATTTCTGCCGTCTATTTCTGTTTATCTGGCCTCAATGTCAACTTTATGTTCGACACTATCAATCCGGCCGAAAAAAGAAGTTTCGAGCGGGAGAAGAAAGACGTAAAAGTGTGCAGATTGGAATGTATCTCAGAGTCTGGGGAATGGCTGATAAATGCTTGGAACTGAATGAATCGACAATGATCGATGCTAAAATGTATGAGAGAAAAATAGATAGCAACACTACCTTTGTTTGTTAATTTATGTGGAAAAGATTTATTTGATACAAAAATATTTGAGTTAAAATAAAAAGGAAATACATTTAATAATAATTGTGTTACATTGCGAATATGTGAAATTATTACAGTGATTTTAAGCCAATGAATTTTTATTTGAGTTCTAGCACAGAAAAATAGAAAAAAATATTTGATAATAATGATTTTTGTAAGTTTCAAAATAATATATTGATAAGAAAATTAAATTATTTTACGTTCACAAATATTAAATATTAAAATTTCTTATTTTACTCAATGATTTCAATTGGCATTTAATAATGGTTGTGTAACAAATGCATGCTTGCTGATAATATTCATATTATATTTCTTGACAATATCAGAATTAATTAAAGTGAGTTTAAGCCAATGAATTTCATTTGATTCTTAGCAAACTGGTAAAATCGCTTATTCCGTTTTAGTATTCATGAAGGATCAAAAGTTTTTTTCCCTCCCCCAAAGGCTCGCCTCCGCTTTATTTTCTTCGAACTTCTTTCATGCACTTTGGAGTTTGGCCCGCCTTTGTTTGGCCATTTTCTTCATGTGTCCCTATCATTAAGGCAGAGTGCGGCTTAATTGTTGCCACAGACAATGACTGGATTGTTGAAGGGGCTAGGATGCCCCCAAACGAACCCCCATTTTCCCACAAGTGCGTTGCCTATTAAGCAGCAGCATCATAATAATAATGTGTAACAACAGGAGCAACAACAACAGCTGCTGGCAATAACTTTTGCATGCATATATTCGTACACACGTATATATAGATGTTTGGCTTATGTGTGAGTGTTTGGGGACGCATTCAAAGCAATTTCCACAATTTTCGTATTGTTTACTTAATTAATTCTGCACAAAGATTTTCATTTGTGTGTCTGTGTGCGTATGTGTGAGTGTGTGTGAGTATGTGGAATTCGCAGATGTTTTGTGGTTATTACAGCAAACCAACAACACTCGTTCGACATCACATCACCCCCTTTCCCCCAGCCACCATCCAATATCCATTCGGGCAGACAAAACGCGTAATGAGTTTATAACATTTAATGAATCCACAGCCACATCCACAGCCGCAGCACAATGCGGCGTATGCGTAATGCGACAGCTTAAAGGCTCCTTAAAGTATGCAACAAGTCGCAGACGAGTGTGGATAATTACGAGGAATTTACCGGGATTTTAATTAGATTAAATGCATAACAGACTTTGTTGACAATTACCAATGGCTGCAAATGTATATTTTCATTTATAGATCTAGGGTTTTATTCGTTAAAAAACATTGAAAGTAACTTATATATATTAATCAAAACTCAATACTGATGGATTGAGCTCACCAAAAAATATATTTTTAATATGTAATAACTATTCTAGACTTGGTTTAATCAGCTGAAAAGTTGGTTATTAATTTATCTATATAATCTTTAAGGAAATTTACAAATTTTGGCTGCAAATTTACCAAAAATGTTCTCATGGACAATTATTATATTACAGTTTATTCATAATTCAAATAAAAATATATTTCTAAAATATTTAAAAATTAAGTATTTTCAAAACATAAAATAATGAAATTAAAGGTAGAAAAGTTTATGAAAATTATACCCAAAAAAAAGCTTTTTATTCACCTTTAAACATTTAAATCACTGAATGATGTGCATAAATTGGAACACAATTGCTTATGATTATAAGGCAAACAATTTAAGGTAACTAAGAGTTTTTAAGCCTTTTGGTAAGCAAGTAGTTTTGATGACTTTCCACTTTCGCAATGGCACGCCCCCAAAAATGGCCCTTTCCCGCGATTTCCAGGCTTAAAACAGAGCGAGTTCGGAGTTCACGGTGTTCACATGTCAGTGGAAGTGGAGTTTTCTAATTTTCCTATTTTCCTATTTTCCCGCTTCAATTTTAGGTCTTTTAAAGGGGCGTTGGGTGTGGCAGCAGCAGCAGCAGCATTGACTTTCGATTTGTTGTTGTTTATCCTCCACGAAGGGAAACTATTTTACCGCTCAATTGATTTTGCAATTTATTTGCGCGCATTATGCGAAGGAGTAGGAAAAAAATGGGGGTGTCTACTATATATATAAAGCATATCCGACAGGATAGATGTTGATACTCACACGTGTCCTGGGCCTTGAAAACTTAGAGAACGGAGCCAGGAGCAAAGGATACTGCTCTGGCATTTTCAATTCTATTTACTCCCAATAATCATCATCAATGTCAGTTTCGCTAGCACTAAAATGAAAATAAAAACAAGCCAGGCAAACAATTTTTGTTATCCTTTCAAGTACTCGATACTTGACTAGCTCGCAGGAGAAACAGCAACAACAACAAAACGTCAACAGGATCATTGCCAGAAGCCGACAGCAACAACAATGAATCGCAGAAAGAGACAGCAGGCGTGGTGAAGGAAAGAGAGGGGGCATAACGACGAAACGCATTGAGAGTTGATGTTTATATCGATTGCTGGCAATTTCGTGAATTACAACAGACAAGCAAACTATGGGTGGCAAAAAACGGTAGAAAAAGAGTGGTACACTGCTAAGAAAACGTTGTAGATCCAGGCACTTCAAACATAATTTGAATATATTTCCATTTGATTTTCATCCATTGCTGTTTTTAGATAATATAAATATGGAAATATTAAATTTTATTTAAATATTTCATTTAACAAATTTCGAAATAAATTTAAGTTATTGAAAATATATTTCTAATTGAAACCAAATTAGACTTAAATACAATATTTTAAATTTAATATTTTCACTTTTTTAATATATGA